TGCCCTCTCTCTCCTCTCTTCTCTCCTCTCGCTCTCTCTCTCTCTCTCTTCTGATCTCTTCTCTCTCCTCTCTCTCGCTTCTCTCTCTCTCTCTCTCTCTCTCTCTATCTCCTCTCTTCCTCTCTTCTCTCTCTCCTTCTCCTCTCTCTCCTCTATATTTCTCTCTCTCCTCTCTCTCGCCTCTTCTATCTCTCTCTCTCTCTCTCTTCTATCTCTCTCTCTCTCTCTTCTCTCTCCTCTCTCTCTCTCTCTCTCTCTCTCTCTCTCTCTATCTCTCTTCTTCTCTCTCTCTCTCTCTCTCTCTCTCTCTCTCTATCTCTCTCTCTTCTCTCTCTCTCCTCTCCTCTCGCTCTCTCTCTCTCTCGCTCTCGCTCTCGCTCTCTCTCTCGCTCTCGCTCTCGCTCTCTCTCTCGCTCTCGCTTCTCTCGCTCTCGCTCTCGCTCTCGCTCTCGCTCTCGCTCTCGCTCTCGCTCTCGCTCTCTCTCTCTTTTTCTCTCTCTCTCTTTCTCTTTCTCTCTTTTTCTCTTTCTCTCTTTCTCTCTCTCCGCTCAGTACTTTCAGCCACTAGCGTGGGTGCAGACCCCGACGTGAAACGGGGTCGTTATACACGGAGAAGGCAACACCGCACGCCAGCCAGGCCACGCACATCAGTCTGAGCTGGGGCGTCACCACACGCGCGACTGACCCGCAACCCCCCCCCCCCCCCCCGCAGCGTACAGACTTCTTCAGAGTGTTGGGTGCCATCCACCTTCATACAAACACACACGCGGTGGTGACGTGGACAGAAGGGTCGTGTGTTCATTCTGACAGTTTAGTTTGGGGCCCCGATGCCTTCATTATTCGAAATGGGATCTCTGCATAGTCTCCAAAGTTCTCTGCTTAGATATGTAGTTATGCCATGATGAACATCCTCCTTACGTTATACCTCATCCCCTAGCTATCCCAGAGAAGTTCCTCCAATCTGTCAGAATGTCATATGCGTATTAAGGTAATTAGCTACCATTTCAATCACTTTGCGCTAAACGGCGCTTCCCTACTTTCGCTTGCTGGCAGCCGGCAGCGTAGTATAACGCTGGCGGCGCGATCTAATGACAATCTCCCCTGCTGTGGTGTTTTCTGGTTACGTTTACCAACACACGACGCACAGAAACCCAAAATTAAAGAAGCACTAAAAATTTCGGACTGGCAGTGCTTAGTTGCGGCATCGCTTACCGGCGTCGGAGGCCTCCGATGCGAGGCCCCTGCTCTCGATAAACGAACGTCCTCAACACGTGAGGCAGGGGCCCAGCCTCACCAAACGAACGTGCTCAACACGTGAGGCAGGCGCCCAGCCTGTACCGAACGAACGTCCTCAACACGTGAGGCAGGGGCCCAGCCTCACCAAACGAACGTGCTCAGCACGTGAGGCAGGCGCCCAGCCTGTACCGCTATCGCCGATCACAGCACCAGGGCTCGAGTCGGAGGCCGGGCCCCTCCTCGTCAGTCGGGTTCCTAACGCCACCATCTGACGGAGCTCATTAATGCGTCCGCCAATCAGAGACGCGTCGCCTCGCAGTCGGCGCGGGCCTCTGATTGGTGGGGTCGTGATGAGCCGGCCCTTGGTCTGCCGGGCGGTCCCGCGGCGTCCGCCTGGATGATTGCCGGGTAGGGGTGCTCGCCGTTCACGCGTGCTGGGAAAGGTCGCACGTTGTTGGTATCTGAACTGAGGGGCGGTTGGTGTATGAATGCCGCATTACCAGTAGACCCAAGGTCATGACAGGTGCGAAATGGTTTCTTCATTTTAGCCATTGAAATGACATGATATGCGTCTACCTGGCGTTGAGAACGCAGTGAAAAGCTCAAGCCGCTTGAACTGCACGTTCGTGCTAGTGTTTAGTCTTGTAACAAGTACAGTTCTTAAAGGATTTCCAGCCACTTGCCAGGACCTCTTAATACTTGATAGATGTCACCGGTGGTGACCCTGCTCGCTGAAGTCCACGTCACCCGCTTGTCCCTGCTGCCAGCCACTGCTGCCGCCCCTGGTTTCAACGCCGCTGCTGCCCCGTGTGTTCAGCCCTTCCCCGCCGCTGTCCATGCCAGCACCCGCTGTCGTCGCCCGCCTTCAGTCCCCGCCGTCGTCCCCGTCGTCAGCCCCCGCTGCTCCCCCGCCTTCAGTCCCGGCTGCCGCTCCTGCCGTCAGCACCCGCTGCTTCCCCGCCTTCAATCCCGGCTGCCGCTCCTGTCGTCAGCCCCCGCTGCCGCTTCCTGTCATCAGCCCCTGCCGCCGCTATTGTCATCAGCCCCTGCCGCCGCTTCTGCCGCAGGTCATGCTGGCGGAGCGGCGCGGCACGGACGAGCTGTACGCCATCAAGATCCTGAAGAAGGACATCATTATCCAGGACGATGACGTCGAGTGCACCATGATCGAGAAGCGGGTGCTGGCTCTGGCCAGCAAGCCGCCGTTCCTGGTTCAGCTACATTCCTGCTTCCAGACGATGGTAGGCGTCTTGCTGTGGCGGCGGCGTGGCGATGCGCTTTGTGTGTCCCCGGGGGAGGGGGAGGGGGGGGGAGGTTGGACGCAAAACGTGGGGTGCTCGGCTAGCACGCTGGTCACGTTAGAGGACCAGAGGAGCGTCGTACGTGAGGCTTTCTGTCATTGGGGAAGGGGGAGGAGGGAGGGGGAGGGGCTGCAGGGGCGGCTGGAAATGTTTACGTCCGCGTAATGTGTGTCGTTTCGGTTTCATGCCATGCGGTCTCCGCGGGTTGTTCTTTAAAAATGTACTTCTGAAACGCCCCTTTTGTCCGCCTCGCTTCGCATCGCTTTACAACTGTTAATTAATTTAATTATTAATTTCACATTAATTTCACAACACATTAATTTCCCCCAGAAGACCATTGCCTCTTTTACCGTTTTCGTGGTGGAACCGAGGAAGATAAACTAGTATCACAGGGACGTCGGGTGCGAGACCCAGACCTGGCGCGTCTCGAGGCCTGCCCGACATGAAAACCCGGCTGGCGGCCGGCCAGGGAGGCCAGCCTCACCCGGCGCGGCTGCGTTGTAGCTCTGTGCGGAATTCCAAGCCGTCGACAGCCGCCTGTCTGGCGAAAGGTCGAGGCGAGGCTGTCCGATGAAGTAGTCCGGCGCGACTTGATTGACGCATTCAGAGTAGCCTGGAACAGGCTCTGCGTAGCGAGCGCTGGCGAGCCTAAAAGGTTCCAATCGTTGCAAGATGCTGTTGTCGAAGCGTTGCAAATCGAACGCAAATCGTTCGCCACAAGTTTCGAAAACAATTAGATTAAAGCCTTGCCAGTCACTTCGCGTTATATCAGATTACACTGGATTGAATGGGATGCAGCGTTGGAGTCACACATTTTCCGGAAGTCCCGCATAATTAATGCTTAAAACAGCACGCAGTGTGTTTCGATTTTTACCAGGCGTGCCGTTAGCTGAAATGGATCTGGGCTGAGCGGTTTTGGCCGGATGGGCCATAAGGGTACCGGGATCTCGGAGTCGACGGCCAACACAACCCTCTGCGATACGCCCGATGCACCTGACCGCTGGGGGGGGGGTGGAGTTAGGAGAGGGGGGGGAGGGCGTGCTCCGACGTGCCGGCTGATCCATCCAGCAGCCGCCACGGCAGCGTTAACATGTAATGAGCTCCGACATTTCTGGCGCAGCCCGGACAATGGCGGTGCGGCGCAGCCAAAGTGGCGGCTCGGCGCCGTGCCGTCGCCGGGTGGTGCGCCGTTTTTGTATCGTCGCGGCGTCGCAAGATTTATCACTGCCCGAGTGTTCGGTGCGGTCGATTTTTGACAGTCGTGGCGCGCCCACGTTAGTCACGCTTTGATCATGGCGGCCGTGGCGAGGCGGGAAGGGATGGGATTCGAGTATTCCAGCATGCTGGGGTGCAGGTGTATCACCCGTCGCTACAGCGCCTGCTGGCGTCCGCCAAGTCGAAAAATGGTCCCAATGGCAGGAGGGTCTCAAAGCCTCCGCCCTTGCTATGGAACCACAGACTACCATCTTGTGATCGAAGCGCTGGTTGGAAACCCGCGCTGTTTGCCGTGGTGCAGTCCCGGGCTGCTGGTGCAGTCCGCTGGTGCAGTCCCGGACTGCGCCCGCCACAGGAGGCTGCGGCAGGAATATTAACGATATCTTAACGATTGAGCAGCGATCGCGTTAATAGGTCCTGAAAATAGTATCGATGTATAGATGATGTTTTGTGATTGTGCTAATTGCTACTCATCCCGATGTGTCTCTGCGACACGCAGCTCCGATGATGCTCGCGTGGGTTGATCCGCTATAATAATTGAGTTGATTAGGGACGTTTGATGTGACCTTTTGCATCCCACGAACGGGATCCTCTATTTTGCGGTGTGTGCAGGGCAGGCTTCACCTGACGGGCAGGGGACTTTCTGAGCGCTGCGGTCCGATTCTGGCGGATTGTTGCGGCCTCTCTCAGTCCGGGGAGGCGTGGCGTGAACATATGACCCTTGTACCTCCCCCGTGCAGCTCCGACACAGTGACGTAGCATTCGTATTTCGGGCAAGTGTGCTTGAGAATGGCGAAGCAGGCTCTGGAGGCTTTGCAGCTCGCGGAGCCGCAGGCTGCAAAGCCTTCAGCGGGGATTAGACTGAAGGCCTCGTGGATAATGCACGGCATTGCGTGAGCCGTAGGCTTCCAATCGTGGCGTGTTGGTCCGCCTCTTTCAAACTCTAAGGGAAAATCCCGTCGCTGGGACCCGTTCCAAAAGCTACTGATGTATACAATTGGGACAAGCGATCGCTAATAATGCCATCCAAATGCGCGCTGACACTGTACAGAGGAGAAGATTCGCAGGAAATGTTTACTTTTTCGATTCCTTGGAGTTCGACCACGCCTGGGTACACCGAGCATCACTAGCAGTCGGGTCGATTTTACAACTCGAACTTATTTCCTATGAGCTGGCGTTGTCATTTGTCATAAGGATTCGAGTCGTAGAAGCCACGAGCTTAACGTTATGAGCCGTATCAGCAAAAGTCTTTTGCAATAGCTATGGCTTGCCTGGCTGGTTCCACCCACGAAACGCCCGAATTCGCGGCGCTGAAGCGCGGCGACTTTGGCCGCGCGCCGTCATAAAGGTTTTTGAATGTCCAGCGCTTAAAGCCACAGCCGGTGTCTGTGACAGATTGATTGCCATAGCGGTGGCCTTGGGTTGCTTTCTTCGATGAAGACGGGCATTTGCAGATTAGCATATTGTTAATTAATTAAGCAATCTCGGGCCAAGTTGACTTGGTAAATCTCGATGATTTATGGAAAGTAACTGACGCGTATATAGACATCGAGTAGTGATACATAAAACAACATTTCAAGCGTTGACAGCCGTGAGCCCGTAAATATGGAAATAAAACGTCAGCTCAACCACTGTTTTAAGTATATTTTTACGTTAGAAGGACGAACTTAGGAAATCGGACTTCACTTTTAATTCGGTTTTGCCCATATCTTTGTCGACACAGGTGCGTGTTTGACGGAAAGGAGCCCAAACAAGTCTCCCTGCATATTTTTTCACAAGGCTCAATATGGTTGTGAATAAATGCCAATAGTTAAATCGATAAATACACTAAAAATGCTCAGCTAGAAAAAATGGTATGATGTTTGTTATACGCCATACTTAAAATCGTGCATTCGTTGAAACTCTCGAGTCGTACCCTCTTCTCGAAATCCTGTGCAAAATTTACTCGCCTGTCACTGTGCAGGCGAGAAAATACAGCTATATTTCGATGTCATGGGTAGAAATGTCCCCTCAACTGCGAAAATAAAGCCAGGCTCCACAAAACCTTTGCGCAAACTACATCCTTTCGTATATAAGTACATACTCAGATGCATTGAAAATAACCATTAACTGTCAGTACAATGTGGTGCATCGTTGTGTTGTGCGTCGTCATCGTCACCGTCTTCGCACGTTGCGCGTCGTCATCGTCACCGTCTTCGCACGTTGTGCGTCGTCATCGTCACCGTCTTCGCACGTTGTGCATCGTCATCGTCATCGACTTCGCACGCTGTGCATCGTCATCGTCATCGACTTCGCGCGTTGTGCATCGTCATCGTCACCGTCTTCGCACGTTGTGCATCGTCATCGTCATCGTCTTCGTACGTTGTGCATCGTCATCGTCATCGACTTCGTACGTTGTGTATCGCTATTCGCGACATGACTCACTGTGACGGTCACAAGCGCCGAGGCATATACGTTCCCGCTGGGGGGCGGCAAAGATGTGAGCAGTCACCGTGTTTTTTTCTGCGAGGAAACTAAAGGAGGCTGGTGTGGGAAGGAGGGCTAACCGAGCCGCAGTTCTGACGGCGGGAGGCTGGTGTGGGAAGGAGGGCTAACCGAGCCGCAGTTCTGACGGCATGAGGCTGGTGTGGGGAGAAGGGCTAACCGAGCCGCAGTTCTGACGGCAGGAGGCTGGTGTGGGAAGGAGGGCTAACCGAGCCGCAGTTCTGACGGCATGAGGCTGGTGTGGGAAGGAGGGCTAACCGAGCCGTAGTTCTGACGGCAGGAGGCTGGTGTGGGAAGGAGGACTAACCGAGCCGCAGTTCTGACGGCAGGAGGCTGGTGTGGGGAGGAGGGGTAACCGAGCCGTAGTTCTGACAACATGAGGCTGGTGTGGGAAGGAGGGTTAACCGAGCCGTAGTTCTGACATGAGGCTGGTGTGGGGAGGAGAGCTAACCGAGCCGCAGTTCTGACGGCATGCGACGGAAAGGTATAAGTGGTGGCTTAACCCGGTGCGGACAATTTGTTGGCCCTGACTGGTGCCATGCTGTACCACATGTTGCTGTACTCTTTTTTGGGAACCTAGAAGGCATGAAGCAGGTGAAATATCACGGACAAATATAATGGAGGGTGGGGATGTTCAGCCTCAGCAAGATCGAAATCGAAATAAAGGCCTAAAATATAATGCATGGCTTACCAGGACACGAAAGGGCAGCAAGTCCATCTGACGCAGAACATTTTCATACAAGGCGCTCCCAAACGCGCCCAAACTGGACGGCTGTCCGAATTGCGAGTACACAGATATCAAGCCCACCAACCCTCAGCTGCCTGCGCCACAGAAAGCTCTTTCCCCTGGTGATAAATCGTCCATTACGCGCAGAAATATATGACTCAGCGCCACGGCTGTCGCTTCGTTCGAAGTCCGAACGGTCCGTGCAACAAATCTCGGGTGGTTTCTGGAGATGCCGCCTCCACCCTTTGCCACATCAGAGGGTTCGTGGGTCTTAACAATTTATTTGGCTCCCGCATAAACAAAAACTCGGCCACAAGCGGAAGGGGTCGCTGAGCGGTTTAACGTAGCCAGTTTAAGTAAAATATAGCTGGGTTTCGTCAATGAGCCGGAGAGATTCACAGCCGGCCGGAGAAGACTTGCAGCGGATCCGAAATGGTTCACAGCGGGCCGGAAAACATCAAGTTAATCTATCTCCTCAATATCCGAGAAATGGTCCATGTCAACGAATCTGTTCCATATCATAAAGAAAGGTTTTTCCTCCGTGATTGCCTAATGCGCAGGGTAGAGCGTTCCTTTCCACCATATATGCCTGACATGCTGCAGGAATGGTATTTCAAATTGCAGGCTACATGAGCCTACCGGTATGGTTGTCTTAATTAGACATTTAGATACCCAGCGCATAATTAACTGGTCGATTACTCCAGATTCGCTCATGTAATTGGCTCCCGGCGTTAGCGCGCTATACGACTGGACGGTACACGTCATCCGCGATTTACGCATTAGCCTCACTTTGGCCGTCGGCTTTTACTACATCCCACCATTTTACTTGAGATTTACTGTAGCAGCATGGTAAATGGTCCAATGGACCGCCGACATTCGTCATCCATTATCGTTCAGCCGCTAAACGTGAGATTTTCTGAGGCGCCGTTTACGTACCTACGGCGGCGTGTTGAACCGTGTGTGTACGTAGCTACGGACCAGCCGGCATTTATCCCGCGCTCCCGTCTTGCGATTGGCCGGAGCGTCCGTTCCAAGAAAGTGATTGGCTAGACACGGGGCTGATCCGGCCGATCGGCTGTTGTAAACACACTACTGATGGCTGTTGTTCCCGAGAAGCTTGGGTTTGGCAGCCGGTGCTTCCAGTGTCTGATTCCTGATCTTGTTTGCAGGACCGTCTGTACTTCGTTATGGAGTATGTCAACGGAGGCGACCTGATGTTCCAAATCCAGCAGTTTGGAAGGTTCAAAGAACCCGTGGCTGTGTAAGTTTACGTCCACGCTTGAAACGTATGCTGACTAGATGGTATCGATTGCTCACTGTGTATCGATTGCTCACTGTTTGTGCTAAGCGCATACGTGGCGTACATAAAGGCCTGGATGGGTAAGAATGTCTAGATGAGTGCGTGCAAACAATCCTTGCGTTTTATTTTGATTTTCTAAACCTGTCGAATTCTGATGTATGATTTTGTTTCTCTACATCCCACGCATACATCGCATTGCATAAGCATCTGGCTCATGGTCCGACGACGGTCCAGGGCTGGTCCACAGGATGTCTGCAGCTGACCCAGGGTCAGTCGAGAACCGATCCAGAGCCGGTTCACAGCCGGTCCAGGCGCCCCCCAGGCCCGACAGAGCCGGTCCACTCCCGAGCCAAAGCTGAATCAAGCCGAATCTTTGCTGAATCGAAAATTTCGATTTAGTTCTCTCTCTCAGATCTCGAAAATCGAAAATCGAAAAAGGAAAGCTGAATCGGTCCGAACGCCATTTCCAGTCAACACCCGAAACGCAGCCTCCCTTGACTGCGTCTGCAGTCCTACGCCGTGTCAAACGGAGCCGCCGGGGCGACCGGCGCTCCGCCGAATGTCAAACGCCCGCCGGCAGGCGGCCGAATGTCAAGTGGCGGGGGGGGGGGGGGGGGCGCCGCGCTGATGTGGTCACGTGCCCGGAGGCGGCGCGGCGCGGCGCGGCGCGCAACTGTTTCCGTGTGAAGCCGGGTCACCGCCGCCCGCGCCGGCAGAGCGGGGCGATGGTTTGACGGGGCGTCGAGGCAGCGCGCCCACCGCCCACGCGCTCACCCTCTCACCCCCGCGCGACGATCGCCGTGCCCGGAGAATGTGTCGCCGGCGACTGTGGCGGCGCTTAGTTGACATTGCCGGGCAGAGGGAGATGTCAGGCGGAGTGATACTGGGCGGAGCTGGGCCAAGCCTGGCTCCGTAGTGAAAATGCCTCGCTGCAACGGCGTGGACCCCAGCCGTGGGGGCTCCCGTAGTCGGACGGTGTCATGGTCTTGCTGCGCGCCGTGGTCTGACGGTGCCGTGGTCTGACAGTGCCGCGGTCTGACGGTGCGGTGGTCTGACGGTGCCGTGGTCTGACGGTGCCGCGTCTGACGGTGCCGTGGTCTGGCGGTCCCGTGGTCTGACGGTGCCGTGGTCTGGCGGTCCCGTGGTCTGACGGTGCCGTGATCTGACGGTGCCGTGGTCTGGCGGTCCCGTGGTCTGACGGTGCCGTGATTGACGGTGCGTGGTCGCGGTCCGTGGTCTGACGGTGCCGTGATCTGACGGTGCCGTGGTCTGGCGGTCCCGTGGTCTGACGGTGCCGTGATCTGACGGTGCCGTGGTCTGGCGGTGCCGTGGTCTGGCGGTCCCGTGGTCTGGCGGTCCCGTGGTCTGACGGTGCCGTGGTCTGGCGGTGCCGTGGTCTGACGGTGCCGTGGTCTGACGGTGCCGTGGTCTGACGGTGCCGTGGTCTGACGGTGCCGTGGTCTGGCGGTCCCGTGGTCTGACGGTGCCGTGGTCTGACGGTGCCGTGGTCTGACGGTGCCGTGGTCTGACGGTGCCGTGGTCTGACGGTGCCGTGGTCTGGCGGTCCCGTGGTCTGACGGTGCCGTGATCTGACGGTGCCGTGGTCTGGCGGTCCCGTGGTCTGACGGTGCCGTGATTGACGGTGCCGTGGTCTGGCGGGCGTGGTCTGCGGTCCCGTGGTCTGGCGGTCCCGTGGTCTGACGGTGCCGTGGTCTGGCGGTCCCGTGGTCTGACGGTGCCGTGGTCTGACGGTGCCGTGGTCTGACGGTGCCGTGGTCTGACGGTGCCGTGGTCTGACGGTGCCGTGGTCTGGCGGTTGCCGTTCGTGTGGTCTGACGGTTGCTGCGGTCTGGACGGTGCCGTGGTCTGGCTTCTGGTCCCGTGGTCTGACGGTTGCTGCCGTGGTCTGACGTTGCCGTGGTCTGGCGGTGCCGCGGTCTGACGGTGCCGTGGTCTGACGGTTGCCGTGGTCTGATCGGTGCCGTGGTCTGGCGGTTGCCGCAGTCTGGCCGGTGCCGCGTGGTCGACGCGTGCCGTGGTATGACGGTGCCGTGGTCTGACGGTGCCGTGGTCTGACGGTGTCGTGGTCTGACGGTGCCGTGGTCTGACGGTGCCGTGGTCTGACGGTGCCGCGGTCTTGAGGCGCCCTGACCGGCCCTGTGGTGCGCGAACCTTGTGGGCATTGGGCTCAGGGTATGTGTGCTATTGTAGTGGTACAGGGAAAGATAGGGTGGGGACAAGGAAAGCAGGTCAATGAACCACAGGGAGTGAAGTCGTGACTGGAAGGCGTTATGTTTTACCTTATGTGACCCCGATCTTATCCTGTACGGGAGCGAGAGTTTTTCCAAGAGTGTGGGAGATGTCCAATTCGCATTTCAAATAAGGTCTCTGCAAGTATCACGGTAACCTAAATTTCCCGCTAAATTTTCCCAATTGTTGTGGCGGGTCTGAGCTCGCCAGAGCCCCCTCCCATGAAAAGATAGCTTCCGCACCCCTGCCTCTGCCTGTTCCCGTCCTGTCTATGCACGTTTCCACATTTGAGGGACTGGGCTAAAAGTAAGTGTTTTACAACTCTAAATAAGTCTTGTAGCAGCTACTCAGCAGCGGAAAGTTCGCCAGTAACAGTCGTTTACTGCGCCTTGCGGAGCGTCCGTTCCGGACTTTTAACACGGCTGAGACGCGCCGAGCGAGGCCGCCGCCTCAAGGCGTCGGGACTCTCAACTAAGTGCTCAATGTCCGCTGACGCTGGGACAATCGCGGCGACTTATTTACGAGGTCTGCAGACACCGCTGAATGGAACCCGATGCTAAGCACACATTTTATGGGGCCCAGCTGTCAGCGAGCTCATCGCTCGCCACGGACCTGGGGCCTTGGTCCGGCTTCTGACTCACGGGGCTGGTGTCGGACTGGCTCGGCCAGAGGACGCCGCCAGGTCGGCGATTGATAGCGGCGTAGTTTGTCATCGTCTCGAACGTCCGGATGACGTCATTGGGACGTCCGGCATGCGACGTCGTTACGCTAATGGGTTTGGTAGCTGAAGTTTCGACACTTTTTAGCCCCTATCGCCATGTTTGTAGTGACGTGCTGATATGCTGTTATCTTGCTCTTGTTCCTAGCACACTTGCGTAACGCGTCGGGCCAAGGATGTCCGAATGTGAATGCGATCAAGAGCATAGGGATGAAGTTTGTACGATGAAGGGCAAAAACGTTTACCCGGCTAATATCAGCGCGCTGGCTGCGGCAGGTTTTATGCGGCCGAGATTGCGATTGGTCTGATCTTCCTGCACTCGCGAGGCATCATCTACCGAGATCTGAAGCTGGACAACGTGCTGCTGGACCAGGACGGCCACATCAAGGTAGGCAAACTCCGCGGTATCCCTGCCGACGTTGCCAAGGCTCATCACGGACGATGACTCTGATCTGTGACTGGCAGACGGTTCCTAGCTGGTCGTTGACGGGCGGGTTCATTGCGGTCCGTCCATCTACGCCCAGCGGTTCACATGGGGTGACGTGTCCAGATGCTGGAGAGGGTGTAGTTGCTGTGGCAGGTGCTCGGTCGCTAGAGTTTGGTAGAGATCGTTTATGCTCCCATCCCCAACAAACCTCCTGCGTTTGGTGTGACGCGCCGTCGCAGTTCGCTTCAAACGACCGCAGGTGGTTCTTCAAGTTCTATATTTCTTTAAGGTCTATATTCTTAGAGGTCTTTAAGAATTTCCGATGGAGTGATTGTTCGGACTACTGTCCTCGTCTGATACATAGTGTGTACACAATGTTTCGACCAGGTAAGTTTCCGGCGTCATCAGGCGTGATCGAGTCCCGTAAATGACCGGGACATATTTGGCTTTCAGCCATGCACGCCTCTCAATCTAAGTTTGCTTCTTGGAATTGCTGTGATTCGAACCAAGATCTGATTGTGAGCCCAGTGCTCTACTGACTGAACTAAAAGAGAAACCCTTCCCCTTTAAAAAGATAACCCTTCCCGATTAGCTCGGTTGGTGGATTACTTCAGTCGCAATTAGAGGGCCCCGGTTCGAATCTCAGCAATTCCAAGGAGAAGATTTGGGATGCAACGCGTCCATGGCTGACAGCCATACATCATCTTCTTTTACTCAGGACTCCATCACACGTGATAACTGCCGGAGAGTTAACTGGCCGAAACGTTTTGTATATGCAAACACGACAGACGAGGACGGCAATCCAAACAATTAGTTCATCTGTGAAAGGAACACCTCGCCTCAATCATTCGGTAAAAATATATTTATTTTAGGGTGCTGCAATTCCTGATGCTTGAGTGCAAAACGAATGAACTAATCTTAGCTCGGAAATTCTAAGTGATGTAGACGTGAGGATTGTCGTATGGACTCATTTAAAAGAGTATAGAACAAGACGAAGACAATGAGAAAGACAGAGGCAGAGAGTAAAGGGCATATGTGAGAAGGAAGATGCAACTTTATATTGTCTAGTGAGAGGAGAACAGATTGACAGCGGGAGCGGAGCAGATGGAGATGTCGGGTGAGAAAAGAACATATAGGCAGCGGGAGCGAGGCAGAGGCAGATGCCGAATGGGAGGAGAACGGACCGACAGGGAGAGCGAGGCAGAGACAGATTCCGAGTGAGAGGAGAACCGATAGATAGTGGGAGCGAGGTAGAGACAGATTCCGAGCGAGAGGAGAACAGATAGATAGTGAGAGCGAGGTAGGTACAGGTGCCAAGTGAGAGGAGAACATACAGGCAGCGGGAGCGAGGCAGAGACAGATTCCGAGTGAGAGGAGAACGGATAGATAGTGAGAGCGAGGTAGACACAGACGCCGAGTGAGAGGAGCACATACAGGCAGCGGGAGCGAGGCGGAGGCCGGTGCCGAGTGAGAGGAGAACATCCAGGCAGCGGGAGCGAGGCGGAGGCCGATGCCGAGTTAGAGACGGCGGTGCCGTGCCCTGCCCGTCCCTTGCGGCCGCCGGGGGATCTCGGTGCCGGCTGGGCGTCCCTGGGGGCGCCGGTATCGGCGAGCACATCCGTCAGCCTGCTGGCAGCCGATAGCTCCGGCCAAGAGCTGCCGGCGCCGCCAGCAGATGGCCACCGAGCACAATGAGATGAGATGGCGGGTGGTTGGTATTTCCGCTCCCTGGTAGGTGCTTTCCGCGAGATGGCGCGGGGGAGGGGAGTCGCGTCAACGTGCTCTGGGCGGCAGGGGGGAGGAGTAACGGTGGCGTGCACAAGAGGTAGTGTGCGTTGGGCCAGCTACATGGTTTATCGGGGCCTGGCCCGCGCCAGTCGTCGCACGTTTCCTTTATCTTCCTCTGCTTTATCGCACTCGTCTGCGCTTCCTGCGCCGTAGCTGCCTGAGCCAACTACCCCAAAAAGCGGGCACGCCACGATGTGCTCTCTATGCGTCTCCCGGCTGAGGCGGATCTGGGCCGTGAGAGGGGGGGGGGGAGGGGGTTCAATCCAGCGCCTGCGGCACGACGCCGCGGCCGCCCCGGGCGCTGCTTCGATGGAAATCTCGCTCATCTCTGCAGCGGCGGGCACGATCCGCGCCGGCCGGACTGGGCGATTGTCGCCGCGGACGGGCACGCTGATAAATCTGTCGCCGTCGCTGTCTTTATGGGCGGTGGTTCTGTCAGGGTTGACGAACGTTTCGGGAATGGGACGACACATTTAGCGCCCGCGGGCGGCGGAGGGCGGCTTTTTACGTCGTCTGCGGCGCCACCGTGGCAGTGCCTGTCAGTCCAGCGTGTCGATGTGCGCCGGTCCACCGTGTCAGGGTGTGCTAGTCCGCTGTGTTAATGTGTGCCAGTCCCTTGTGTCAGTGTGTCGATGTATCAGTCAGCCATGTCAGTGTGTGTCAGTCCATTGTGTCAGAGCGTGTTAGCCCGTCGTGTCAACATGTGCCACACGAATTTCACCGAAGTGATTATTATGTGGAGCAGTTGGTACAACACTATAGTCTGTGGAAGGTTTCTGGCATGATTGTAGGAAAAACGAAGGTGCCGAAACGCATACCAATATTTGTATTTACGACATTTCAAACGAGCAGGAAGGAACTGCAAGCCTTTGCTTCGAGGCACCTACTAGGTGTAGGTTTTTTCTTTTTTCCAAACATAATGCAACCCCTCACAAACTCAAACTCGATTCATCGCCGCTTGTCACTGCCGTTTGGAAGATAACACGTCCAAGCCAAATATTTGCGTGCGTTTGAAAATCTGTTTGCAGGGGAAGCTAAAGCTCGTAGGTAACCTGAGGTTGAAAGCTGGATTTTGCTTTAGATGTAACAAGCGGCTTGGACTTTTTCACAGCGTGAAGTGGCCGCGCTGCTGGTGCGGGTAGCGTCGACACCTATGACGTCACGTTCATTAAAGCAAGCATCATTGCTCACTACCATTTGCTTCTTTGACGGGTCAATGACACAACCCGTACACTGTTTTGATATTTGATTATCAATATTTAATTTAAATTAATAATTAATATTAAATTAATTTTGATATTTGATTATTTTGATTTGATATTTGATCATTGTCAATGATATCCTGTTCGGAATTTTCTGAATGTTTTCGCGGGGACCAATCTTTGAATGGAAGAACGGCTGAATTTATTGAATCCGGCGTGAACTGAGATTCAAACATCCTGATCCTGCCTGATTTAGTCAGGGTCAACGGAAGACAACTTTGCTGACGTTGTGGTAGATTCGAATCTATTATGCAAAAGAACTGGTTTCATTACCGACGTTGCTTTTGTCAGTCAGATGTAATACGACTCTGCTAATTGGGTTCACGCACAAGTGCACCGTCACACATGGTCTAAGAAAATAACCCATAATCGGGCAAGCTTGTGTGAAGCCGCGCAATATGAAGTAACCGGTGCCACCGTCAAAAATTCATTGGAAACTTCAGCTGTAAGACGCCACCACTTTTCATTGCTACCCAAGCACACTAACTGGTCCGTGCGGCACACAGCTGCTGTCTGCGTTCATCCTCACCCTCGAGCCATGCCCGGGATGGTCGGCGGCGTACCTGGACGCCGCTCGGCCACCAGCAGCCCGCCAGGGTCAGCCGATGCCGACGCCAACGTCATTACCGCCGAGCACCATCGTCGGCGCCGTTACTGCCGTGTCATGCCCTCCGTAATGTGCTGTCCCCCCCCCACCCCCCCCACCCCCCACCCCCACCCCCGATCCGGCCGGCTGGCAGCGCGCGGCGATAAACGGTGTGCGTGACGACCAGTGGCGCGGTCTGCGCGAGGCTCGCGGCATTATCGCTCTCGCTGCTGATGGACGCGGCGTTGTGCTATGCTACGTTATGCTATCAGATCCAACTATCAGGAAGGTATCGCTTCGGAAATGAATGTGTTCGGACGGAGATTGTGGACAAAATGAGGAATGTAAGCGCAGTGACGTTTGTAATTAATCCGAAGCCCCACCTGTCATACCCACTTCCGCTCACACAACTCGTCGATATGGCAAGGTTCGGCGTGTAAAGAGTCATGCTATATATATATATATATATATATATATATATATATATATATATATATAACCAACCAGCCAGCCTGGAACCAACCAGCCAGCCTGTCCGACGTTACAAGAGTGGGTCGCTGACGTCAATGGGACAGAGAAAATGTCACCGCCGCTCACGGCGTGACGGCGAGAAAAACAGACGAGTCCGAGCCAGACATGCTCGGCTGATCACAGAGAATGCGCCGTTTTTCGGCCGGCGGCCTTTTTGTCTCGCGCTTTTTCTGCACCAGCACCCACGCCAAAAAGGGCTGGGCGAGAAATGTCTCGCTCATCTGCTCGCATCCGTTACTACAGCAGGACGAAGGCCTTTCGCCGCTTGATGTTGGACCGATCTTCTGCTGGCGGATGGTGTTCGTCAGAGCGCAGCGTGAGAGCATTGGATCTGGGGACCATCTGGCGCATGGGATGGCTCAGTGCCTTGGAGCCATTGGAAGTAGATGAGATGAGATGAGATAACTACTGTTTTCTGTCATGTGGACAGAAGTGTCATTTTCTCAGATTGGTTGGTGAGCTCGGCCCCAAAGGTTGGTCCAACCTACCCCAAAACGTGATTTATTCGGAATTTTGACCACTTGATTTGCGTTCTGGATGTCGTTAATTTAAAATCGTTCCAATATTCCGTGCATCCAGAATTATTTTCCTATAGAGGGGTGACCCCCCCCCCCCCCCATTTCAAGCCCATCTGAGCTGCCTTTTTATGAAAAGCAGTCCATGCGCCCTTCTCGTTTGTGATGTAATGAACATCTGATATAATGAACGAGACGCGAAAAGCAAAACAGCGAATACCCCTTTCGGCGACTATTTTTGACAGAACGCACTCAAGCTGAAATCTGCGAAGGTAGGAATCCTATGCCCCCTTTTAGAGCTCAAAGTCATCCGCATAGCATGGGACCATCCGAAAAGGAAATAAGGGAATGCTTACTCATAAGAAGCTGGCGACGAGACCTTAACATACAGGGTTCTTCATGCCTGATCATGCGGATGTGATTAGTGCCTTGATGTGTGATGCGTGCTAGCTTAAAATCGCTTACATGTTTGAGTGATGTCTGACGCGTGATGCGCGCTGCCTGTTGAATTGCAATCTTTTGTGTGTATAAGTGATGCGTGATGTGTGATGTTTGTTTACTCGAAAACGTTAACAGGTATGAATGATGTTCGATGTCTGTTTAGTTAAGTTCGTTTGTATGTGCGCGCGTTTTCCGCATAGTTTAATTCTTAGTTGGATCTGAATCGTGATAATGGCTGGCAATTGCTCTTTGTTAAATCTCTGCATTTTGCTGACCTGTAAAAACCGTGGCTCGCTGTCTGAAAAGAGACTGAAAATGGAGTGGGATCGGCAGGCAATTATAAATTAACTACGGATGTTCGTTTCGATAAAGACATGTAGCCGCCATATTATTGCTTCTATCTGTCCATTCTCCTGGTTATTCTACGAGGAATAGGGCTATTAGTACTGTTTTATTTACAATCAACATCATGCTCATTGTGATGTTTCGTTACCTACTACCTAGTACACCAGCAGTTAAGATAATTTTTCGGTATTTATTAAATCGAGTAATCCCTTTGCTCATATGCTTTGAGGGGTCTCAAAGGACCACTGGGAGTGGGGTGGGGTTCGGGCCTCCCCCTGAAAATGTACGAAGTAACGCCCCCGCAGATAGACACTCCGATACAGGTCATGACAGATGGTGACGTATCTGTGACATGTCAGATGAATCTCCAAGTGTACGTATATCACACGAGACGGTGACTTCTCTTTGGCAGATGGGCAGCCACGTCTCGGACAGAGCCTCCCGTGGAGATCAGATCGGGATGAATTATATCTGTCATGTGCCGCCGCTGAGGCTGATTGCGAGCTGCTGACTCCATTACTTGTTCTCGGGGCAGATCCCTTCACGGTCCCGTTCATTTTTTGTTCTCAGGGCAGATCCCGTCACAGTCCCTTCCATTTTTTGTTCTCAGGGCTGATCCCGTCACGATCCCGTCTTTTCTGTGTTCTCAGGGCAGATCCCGTCAAAATCCCGTCCACTCTTTGTTTTCAGGGCAGATCCCGTCACGATCCCATCCATTCTTTGTTTTCAGGGCTGATCCCGTCACAGTCCTGTCCATTCTTTGTTCTCAGGGCAGATCCCGTTACAGTCCCGTCCATTCTTTGTTTTCAGGACAGATCCCGTCACAATCCCGTCCACTCTGTTCTCAGGGCAGATCCCGTCACAATCCCGTCCACTCTTTGTTCTCAGGGCAGATCCCGTCACGATCCCGTCCATTCTTTGTTCTCAGGGCAGATCCCGTTACAGTCCCATCGATTCTTTGTTCTCAGGGCAGATCCCGTCACGATCCCGTCCATTCTTTGTTCTCAGGGCATATCCCGTCACAATCCCGTCCATTCTCTGTTCTCAGGGCAGATCCCGTCACAATCCCGTCCACTCTTTGTTCTCAGGGCAGGTCCCGTCACAATCCCGTCCATTCTCTGTTCTCAGGGCGGATCCCGTCACGATTCCATCTATTCTTTATTCTCAGGGCAGATTCCGTCACAGTCCCGTCTATTCTTTGTTCTCAGGGCAGATTCCGTCACAGTCCCGTCTTTTCTTTCTTTACTGGGGAATTCTCGTCGCAATTAAAGCCAAACTTCAAAGGATTGCGCGGCGCCCCAAGACCAGCTTCAGCACGTCCGAATCACGATATAATGTGCTGCCAACCACTCGTACGGCGGTGCTCGTCAACGCTCCCAACGTCGGCCACGTTCCCAGCACGGTCATAACTTAGTGTGCCATAACCTGGCACGCCCGCAGCACAGCTGGTCAGCAACAGGCGGGAAAATCCCAGCTGGCATTGATCCCAGGCCCCGAGCTTGTGGTGAGCTCGCCGCAGTGCCTGGCCGCCTCCTCGGAGCCGAGGCTCCGGAGGGCTGCCATGCGCAGGGCTCCAGTGCTGAGAAGCTCGCTTTTGTTGGACTCGTTAGGAGTTGAATGGCGTTTGTAACTCGCCACAAGTGGCGAGGAGACTCAGATTACGCCTAGTGAGTTTTCTCGACTGTTCGATGCCGGCTCGCAAAACGAGACCTGGGCTCTCGGTGGAGTTGGGTCAGTTTGGTACGGCAGCCTTCGGTGGAGTTGAGTCAGTTTGGCACGGCTGCTTTCAGTGGAGTTGGGTCAGTTTGGTATGGCAGCCTTCAGTGAAGTTGGGTCAGTTTGGTACGGGTGCTTTCAGTGCAGTTGGGTCGGTTTGGTGCGCCAGTTGGCGCTCGGAGATGGACTGCGAGAAGTTGGGAGTTGCCGCGTCGGGAGCGGACGGCTTGTTGCGATTGGGAAGTAGAACATTACCCGATGTGTGGGCACATCCTCTCTTTGAACGTGCGCGAGTCTTCAGCGGCGCGCATTCCAAGAATGTGGTCTGTCGGTTGGTGTGGATCTGTTGGCTGTGAGCCAAGAAAATAACTTATTTCTGAAGCACATGGGATGGTAAAGTGTCCCCGAAATGGATGAAATACGAATTAAGAAGCTCCCGCATTGAGCTCTCGCATTAAGGCATTAAAGCATCTCATGAACTATTTGAGAGACAATTTTTGGCTCTATGCCAACCTACACCCGTAGCGTCAGAGAAGCGGTCCACGTATAACAATCGCGAGCAACGCTTCAGGCGTGGAACATCGTTTCGTGCTGCGGTCATAACAACATCTTAGCATCAGCGCGTCATCACAAGTAACAACGTCGTTACGCCACGACCGTATTTGGATGCATCTTTGGATCTCGGGATCTTTGGGATCTTTGCTGCGTGTCGCGCCTGTCTCAGCCGCATACTGCTCCGCCAGCCGCGATCCCGTTACCGTCGTCGGTTCCTCGCCGCAGATCGCCGACTTCGGCATGTGCAAGGAGGGCATCGAGGGCAGCAAGACGACCAAGACGTTCTGCGGCACGCCCGACTACATCGCCCCGGAGGTCAGCGCTTCGCCGCGCTGGAGCACTCCGGAGCACTCTGCGCTGCGGAGTGCTCCGTACTCCGTCTCGCAGTCCCGTTCTTTTTCGTATGGAGTGTGCGTGCCCCGGCGTGTGTGTTCTAGAGCACGCCACAGTAGGCGCCTACGCGCACCGTGGCGCGCAGGGGCACGTGCCCCCGCCACCCTTATTAAGTGTATATATATATATATATATATATATATATATATATATACTTACTAATTTGTGTGCATACACACACACACACACACACACACACACACCCACACACACACACACACACACACACACACACACACACACACCACACACACACACACACACACACACACACACACACACACACACACACACACACACACACACACACCACACACACACACACACACACACACACACACACACACACACCACACACACACACACACACACACACACACACACACACACACCACACACACACACACACACACACACACACACACACACACACACACACACACACACACACACACACACACACACACACACACACACACACACACACACACACACACACACACACACACACACACACACACACACACACACACACACACACACACACACACACACACACACACACACACACACACACACACACACACACACACACACACACACACACACACACACACACACACCACACACACACACACACACACACACACACACACACACACACCACACACACACACACACACACACACACACACACACACACACACACACACACACACACACACACAACACAGAGGGAGAGGGAGAGGGAGAGGGAGAGGGAGAGGGAGAGGGAGAGGGAGAGGGAGAGGGAGAGGGAGAGGGGGGAGGGGGAGGGGGGAGGGAGAGGGGGAGAGAGAGAGAGAGAGAGGAGAGAGAGAGAGAGAGAGAGAGAGAGATATATATATATATATATATATATATATATATATATATATATATATATATATGTATATATCGAATAGATATTGTGAAGCCCGTTTGCGCTGCATGGTCACTAGCTGAATTCACGTGTCATGCTGGACACTCGACTCATTTCGCGCGATGTGGGCAGCGCCGTGGCGCCCCTTGTTCTATATTTTTTTGGGGGAGCAATAGACCGAAAGTTCACTCCCACAGAATACGTGGGTCTGTGTGGGTCTGCGGTGCGCACATTACCTCTCGAGTGCGCGTTTCGACCAGGCCTGGTTGCCCCTCCCCCGCGGACATTTTGACGCTCCACCGTCTGCCGTGGGCGTCCGGTGCGCTCGTTACTCGAGCGCCGGCCCCTGGAGCCTGGAGCTTGGCAGGAGCGTGGTGCCGGCCGGCGCCGGTCGGGGAACTCCCGTTGCATTTCCGGCGGGCGGGGCCCACGCACCTCCCACGTCGCCGGCCGTGCCGAACGGGTCGGGTTAAAGGCTCTGCTCGGATGGCTGGCGGCGGCCAGCAGCCGACGTCTCTGGAGATGTCTCCGACGCCGCCGACCGGCCCATTACGTGGGGCACTATGTGAGGAAGAGCCGTGTAGCAGATACGGCTGGAGATGTGAGATGTGATGTAGAAGCCCGCTGCCCGCGAATCAGGGCCGGTTGATGGTTCAGTGCGACAGGGGCCTCGTGCTGGCCTTGATTCACGTGTTGCAGATAAGTCACTACCATTTTCGACTCCTGCCTTAGATAATGGTGCTGCAAGGCCTCCAGGACTATGATTCAGATAATGGCCTTAGGTAATGGTGAGGCGTGGCCTTTTCTGACCCTGGTGTTTTGGATGGCCTGGTGCCATCCAGTCCTGCGTTTTGGACGGCCCTTCACCACGTTCTAATCCTACGCTGCAGATAATTCTGTACCAGCCGTACGGGAAGTCGGTGGACTGGTGGGCGTACGGGGTCCTGCTGTACGAGATGCTGGTCGGCCAGCCTCCCTTTGACGGCGAAGACGAGGAGGAGCTCTTCGCCGCTATCAAGGACCACAACGTCTCCTACCCCAAGTGCATCAGCAAGGAGGCCAAGGAGCTCTGCAAGGGGGTACGTACGTCCGGAGAAGCTACGTGGCGTGCCATTTGACCGGCTGCTGACGTTCGTCGGCCGCCATATCGCCTCAAGACCGAACGATGCCGTGCGTCATTTTTGACATTGCAGGGGCACTTGACACCTGAGTGCTAGATGGCCGTCGATTGCGCTGGAAATGGTCTTGCTTCTATTTCGATTCGTTCATTCCGTACGGCTCGTACTCGTGCGCCATTACATTGGATCATTCGGCCCGGCCGCGCGTTTCTCTTTGTCGGCCAGCCGGCTGCCGTCCCACGTGGGTCATGTGTTAGCGTTTAGCTGTCCGCGGTCGTGAATGTTCGGTCAATGGCCCGTCCGGGGGCGCTGTGTGATGTAGTCGTTGACGCGTCCCCTGGGTCGCGAAGTCTGCTATTGCAATGGCAGGCCCTTTGTCATTTGTCGCGGTCGGGGCGAGTGTTGGCTTCCGCTCTGTGTGCGGTGTTATTTAATGTGTTTTTCGGGCACTTAATTCTCCTTGCTTGTTTTAAGCTTCGGGTACGCTTAGCGAACCTCGATTTCAGTGTGTTGGGGGGGGGGGGGGGTAGGGTTGTGCTGACCTGGCCCTGGTAACGATGAAGAATGTGCCCACCGTCGATCCATCGTCGTGTCCGACGGATGACACCGGTGTTCTCTAATAAACGTATCGCTAACGACACTGCCCGGCTGCTGCTAATGAGCACGCCCGTTCATTACTGACGACCTTGCTGGCGACCCTGGTCCCTACCGACGACCCCAGTCCCCACTGACGAATTCCTCCGATACTGACAACTTCCTCGCTACCGGCGACTCGGCCCCTGCTGATGCCTTTGGCCGCTGCTGGCCACCCTGGCCGTTCACCTCTGACCCAGGACCCCTGAACCCTGACCCCTGAACCCTGAACCCTGACCCCTGACCCCTAACCACGCTGAAGCTATTGCTGACGATTTTTATGCGTACTCATGACCCGGTTCTCCGCCGGCGAACCCAGTTCCTTCCGACAACCTGCTGCCAGTGATGATCCAGGCCCCCGCTGATGCTGCCGACCTCCGCTGTCGCCAGCTGCTGACGAAGCAGCCAGCCAAGCGGCTGGGATGCTCGCCGACGGGGGAGGCCGACATCAGGGACCACCCCTTCTTCCGCCGGATCGACTGGGAGAAGATCGAGACGCGGGAGGTGCAGCCGCCGTTCAAGCCGCGCATCGTGAGTACTGCCCGCCCAGCGTCCCGCTCTGTCTGTCCCAACGCCCTCTCTCACGGTCTCTGTCTCTATCTCTGGCTCTGTCTTTGTCTCTGTCCTGTCTCTGTCTGCCTGTCCCACTGCTTGGTCGGCCGCTGCCCCCCCCCCCCCCTGACATTTGCCGTGGCCCCTCGTTCTGTGTCGGCTGCGATCGTGGCCGACAGTCGTGTCCAGTCGGCTGACCTCTGTGTGACCGTGACCTGTGATGACCGTGACCTCGCCGGCGCGGTGCCGGCGAGTGCCCTGTGCTGTGACGCTGCCCCTGTCAGCTGCCCGTCCGGTGCGCGGTAGCCCCCCGTCCCGTCCGTGGTAGCCGGGTTTTCGCCCCCAGCCGTGATGTCCGTGACGGGAGGGGGGGGGGGGGGCGGCACTGGCCCGACCCGCCGCCGGCCGCCGCTCGGGAGCCGGCCTCTCGCCGGCTGACGGCGGTCGGACGTCCCGGCCGGCGATCGATGCGGTGTCAGCGGCCTGTCTCCACGCGGCGGTTGCGGCCCCGCGTGAGGGCCCGCCTCGCTCGTGTGGGGTGCCCCTGCTCGGCGGGCGCCGGGGCGGGCGCCGGGGGAGACTTGGGGCTCGCCGCACGACCTGGGAGCGGGCTGGACCCCCGGGAGGACTCTGGCACGCGCCTTGCTGTCGAACGTGACGACTGGACGCGTGGTTTTCTCCCTAGAACGTTGCGAATTGCGTGAGACTTGATTCGCGGGCCCAGCTGACCTTGCCCTTGAGTATGTGGCCATTACCGTCTATTCACTTCTTGTGTTGTGAATGGCAATGCACCGGGGCACTTTCGCCCGCATTTTTCCTTTGCCCGTAATCTGATTCTCGCTCAGTCTCGTCTGCGCAGGGCCCTATGCGCCCACGCACGGTCTCCGTTGGCGGCGACCACCGCTTTTCTCTTCTCTGGCGTGGTGTTGTCCTCGCATGCGCTGAGCGAAGGCGCCAGCCGCTGGCTTACGGCGGCGCCGCTGGCTCTTCGCGGGCGCTGCCGCGGTGTTTGCTCCTGCGGCTTGGCTGGCCGGCGGCCTGGCCGCGCGGGTCGCGCTCAGGTCAGCGTGAGGCGCGCGTCTCCAAAGCGGAACCCCTTGGTGGAGGCGGCCTAGGCACAGGGCGTGCGCTGCGCGTTAAGGCCAGCTCATTGCGCGGCGCACGCACTGCTTTGCGCACCGCGCATTGCGCTGCGCATTGCTGCGCAGTCCTACCCTGAGAGGCTGGGCGTCCTCTGTGGTAGAGACATCATCGATCAGACCTTAGTCAGTGGTATTTGCGTTGTTTGCCAGCTGCTGGAAGTGTCTTACTTCTCAGAAGCATGGGCGCTTCGATCAATGACACGTGTTGTACGAAAGAATATTAGGTTGCAAAAGTCGTGTATTTCCCAACTATCCTTCTTTAGATGTCTGCTGAGGAGATATAAGTTAAGTATGTCAAAGTTCGAACACTCTTGCTGGAAGTTCCTTCGCTCTCTGGGTGGAAGAGTAACGCAAAAACCATTACATTGAACGCTCTGTATTAAATATTTATCCAGTTTGGGCGTGTTTGTCATGCGCCGCTGCATCAAGCGTAACACTGCCATTTACGCCAGCACTTTGTTCCGGAAAAAAAGGACCGATTGAGTTGTTTTCGGGATCACATGAACCAAACTGAACACCGCGTTGCAACTTACATCATCTTGGCCAGCACGATAACAGATGAATTGGGGTGAACCTGGGACAAAATGCTGTTATTTTGTCTGCTCGTGCAACACGTGCAACAACATGCGCTCATCGACGCGTGCCAGCCATCAGCGGCCCTTAGTAGCCCAGGCATAGATGACCGTCATGCATTTGGCAACGATGCAGCCTGCGGCGTCAACCAACGACTGAGAGTTACAGCTGCCATAAAAGGATCATGGTGTCCTTTACAGCCGTGGTATTGAAAGCCGACGCGGTAAGCGCATGCTGTCGACTGTAGCTGTTATACCAGCGGGCCACCCCGGGCTGCCCCAACTCGGTGCGTGGGGATGGTTGGGGACCGCGTAGGAGGGGAGCGCGGCGAGAGTCAGAAGGTTCGGCAGTTGGGGACCGCGTAGGAGGGGAGCGCGGCGAGGGTCAGGAAGTTCGGCAGTTGGGGACCGCGTGGGACGGGAGCGCGGCGAGTCAGGAAGTTCGGCAGATGACGAGAGTCCGGCGGCGCTCGCCGTCCCTCTCCCGTGAGGGCATGTGTGTGCGGGTCCGCAGCGGAGCGTGCGGAACTCGGTCTTGCCAGTCAGCTGTTGGTTCAGCTGCTGCTCCGCAACACTAGCGCAGCTGGCGCGCCACACAGCCGCAACAAAAGAATCTCCACACAATGGGCGCAAAGCACAGCACATCGCCACGTCCAGCGAGCCAGATCCTCTCCTGCCATCCGTGCATGTTCCCAGGCTGGAGCTGCGTCGCCAGGCTGCCTTGCATTTGCATTTGTAGTGCTGATCCCGCCCTCGCCTTGTTCACTGTGCTTTATGTGCGTTGTCGATGCATTATGGAGTTGTCGATGTATTGCTCACCCGAGTGTGTCTGTTGTCCTCCGTAATTTTGCTGCATGTGAATGTTTTCGTTTCGTTTTGTTCTGTTTTATGCACTGCCCGTTGTGTTTTGTTCTTGTCTTGCCGCATGTCACGTTTACAAATTGCATTTTTGCCTTAGATGTGCATATGGCATATTTTAGCGTTCCTTAACATAGCCTGAAACGTACTCTATCGCGTCTATTGCTTCCATTTGTTACCAATGGCATACCAGTAACATATCGAGGCTGTGAACAGAGAAGGCTGTCAGATTAACACATCACGTTGGTTGTATACTTCCTTGCCCGAGGATTTTCAAAGCTAACTGACGGTGTCTTGATGCTAAAACTGCCCTTAAAGAGCGTTCACTGATCTCAAATTGGTAAAAAATAAGCCGCCATATAAGACACCACACGTGCTGCCTATAAATGCCCCTTGACATCATTGTTAATTTCCCGTACTGAACAGCTCTTCAATTGGCCGTTGGACTTCTTCCCATTTATATGTCTGACGAAATCACCAGCCCAGTAAAAAAACATTAAGTGCACTCTAGCCCAGATGACGTTTGGCCCTGGCTGACAAGGCCGCGTGTCGATGGTAGCTCGGTTAGTGACTGGGCGTGCGTAGCGCGCCGGCGGCGAATGCCTGCGTGCACCGTGCACTGTATTGTCACCCGCCATGTGCATCACACCGTAGAAACCGCGCGTAGCTGCGGGCTGCTCGATCTCGACCGACGCTTCCCGCCGCTAGCCGACAAACGGTCTCTCATTGGCCGGCGCAGCGCTCGCTGGCGCTGATTGGTCATGGCCGGCTAGCGCGGGCTTCGTCGACCGAGAACGGGTAGCCGCCTGGCCTGTCCGTCGCTTGGCGGCTTCTAACCGTCCTCTCTCTGGCCCGTTTTCCAGAAGAGTGCGCGCTCTGCGGAGAACTTCGATCCCGTATTCCGCACGGCCAACACAGAGCTGAGCCCAGCTGACAGCGAGATCATTAAGCACATTGGCTCGCACGTGTTCCGCGGCTTCGAATGTGTCAATCCGTACTTCGCGCCGGTCACCAGCGAGCCGGACCTGATCCCGGCGAAGTAGGCGGACCGGAACGCGGCCGAGCGGTGATGGCGGGTCGCGGGGCGGGGTGACGTCACTGGGGCTGCGTGACGTCACTGGAACCGTGCGGCGGGCTCTCGCGCCGCCCCAGCGCTGTGGACGACGGCCTGGCGGGAGGAGAGGTGGTTACCAACTGGAAACGGTCTTCGTGAGCGTCCGATGCTGCAATCTTTGTTGGGTTTTGCTCCATGTGTCGGCCGAATTACGGCCGTGTCATTCCTATGTCTTGTGGCGTGATAAACCCCCGGCTCCGAAACGGAGCTTCCTTTCTTCGGTGAGTTACCTGAGGCCCGAACCAATCAGTTTGGGAAGCGTCCTGTGGTGTGGTAAGCCCCGGGTTCAAATTGAGCTTGCTTCTGGGAGGGAGTTGCGTGAGGCCTGAGCCAGCCAATTTCGTTGAACTGGAGCAGACGCATCGGTGGGAGGTGAATGCTTACTCGCCCGTGCCAACTGCCGAGGCACATCGCTTTAGTCGTGGTGTTGAATGCCGATTGTTGTCAGCCCCATGTATCCCGCACGCTTCGTGCATCAGTCGATTGCTCCCGCCGGGTCGGCCCCAGTTTTATTGCTGTCTGTCGGTGGATAAATTCGTGTTGAGTCGGCTTCTCAGCACGCCGAACCGTTCGTGGTCAGACCTATCGCATCGTCTGCACATAGCCGCCGATTCGACGGGGGATAATCATGTGAGCCCAGTGACGTCATTGAAGTGCCTGGGCCACAGTTGGCGATATATATATATATATATATATTTATATTTATATGTATATATATACATATGTATATATATATATATATATATATATATATATATATATATATACACACATCGGTTTGTGTGTTCATAGTCAAAAGAAGGTGGCATTCTTATCCCCAGTACAGGAGGAAAATTCGTCAAAAGGATAATAAGTGTACATGCTTCCTTCCGTATCTAGGCTCTTCCATTGGTATTAAACGAGGCCAGCCTTCGCGCAATGTCGAAGCATGAGGGAGTGTTGCAAACAAGACCACGTCTCACAGTGGCCAAGCACTGTGCTACGCATTTGCGTACACGCGCTATATACACGTCGACGTATAGTTCTAGCATGCATTCTAGGTGGATCGTGCTGTCATTTTTCCGCGTTGTCGGTTGAATTATCCATTACTCTGGTGATTTAGATTAGCAAGGATGGGCATTATTACTGGCTACAGTCAGTCTGCGAAGGTGATGATATGATTATAGTAGTTCATCGTCGTATTTGCTTGGCGGTATCACGCTACACGGACTTGCGACTGAAGCTCAAGCGAGGCTCCTCCACGATACCGGCACTTGCCGCCAAGCTTTTCGAGTTTTTAAGCTGTGCCGAATG